CAGAGATTCCGGAGGACCTAGTTGAGGAGGAACAAGAAGAGGATATCAGGGTAGACGATCCTATGGATATTGACATAGCTCGTTTAGAGAATACTAAAGATCTTTTAGCACTAGATGGGGAGGTTAATGGAATAGCAATTCAGTGTTTAGCAGACACTTGTGCTAATGCGTCTTTTATTCAGAGAGAAGCTGCTGAGGAATTAGAATTGAATATCGACAAGAGTATTACATACAATATATCTGGTGCTTCAGGAACAGGTAGGACATTCGGCATGGTAAAGAGAGTGTCAATCAAACTTACCCCTGATTATGCTATCACTGAGGATCTTGCAGTTTTAGATGGATACAAGCATAGGGAAATTGGGTTAAGCCGAACATGTCTGAAACGTTACAATTATGATGTCCATGAATCACGTGAACATATAGCCTTTACCTGTGATGGGAAGAATGTTTTTATCCCGATAGTTCCTGATGCTAATCGAGGGGATAAAAAATAAGACCCTTTAATTCTTCTATTTTTTTTTATTCCCAAAATTTGCGAATTAAGTCAGGGACATTCTCCTTCAACCGGTCAGCAGGTTCCCAAGTAGCCTCAGTGTCTGGATAGCGCTCCCACTTAACCAAATACTGGTCTTGACCTTTTCTAATGCGATGCCGAAGTATCTGCTCAGGAAAAAATCTTTAAGGTTGTCCTCTTATCACAGAGTCAGGTGGAGGCTTTTCATTAATAGGAACTACTTGCAATTCCTTTCGGGTATATGCACATCTGGATACACCTAATCGACCATGTGGTCCATTAAGGAGATATGTAGGAGGCTGTTCAGGTGAGAGTATCATTTTTTTGATTACACGAATGTTTGGGTTCCATCTTATGTCTCCTGTACGGAATTTTCCGTGAAGTTTATTACCGAGTACTGAGATAGGTTCATCTAACTTTACTCGGACACACGTTCCTTCAGAGAGAAGTTCTGTCTTTTTTGACACCTTGGGTGACCCAGTCGGAATATCTGGAGGATTTCTTTGCCAGATTTCATCTATTTTATTAACTACATCACGGAAATCTTCTGACTATTCCACGGATGTCACCCCGGTTTTCAACTCCTGTGCTACCATTCATTTGAGAAGGGGTTCTTGAATAGCTTGGATAGCTCGTTCAGCGTATGATTGCTGTTTGTGTCTTCCCGGCTCTCCAAACCTCATCATCACCCCTAAACTGTTCAGGAAAAAATCACGTACCTGATCATTGGTGAATTCTGATCCGGAGTCTGTCTCTATTCGATGTGTTGGTGGCTTAATGCGATTTCTTCTGTAGATTTTAACAAATCCATTGAGAACCCTATTTGCAGTTTTATCCTTTAGGGGTTCTGCGTCGACTCATTTACCCGCGACTTCTACCACTACGAGGAAATAGTGGAATCCTTTGGGGTCGACTGGCATCTCTGCGAGATCTGCCTGATGTGTCGCATTTGGTTTCCATACAACTACTCATGGATGCTCTGATGACTTCTCCTTTAGGGGCTTTTTGTATAGGTTGTAGTGCTCCTCACCTTTTAGAATTCGTGCTGGTACTCTGGAGAGATTGTAGTATTTGTAATAATTCTCTAAATGCGACATATTATGACAAATTAAAGGAATGGTTTTAGACTTCAAATCTTAAAATGACACGTTTTTACTGCCTAAAGTGCAAGAAGGAAACTGAGACGGCTAATGAAATACAAGATATGACTACAAATGGGCGTTACAGGCTGCATGGTGACTGCACAATTTGTGGTATGCATAAGAATACTTTTACTGGAATAGACTGGGTGATCAAGAAGAAGACTAAGGAGAAAAAGAAAGAAACCGCTGCTAAAAGACAGCAGACGGCTTACAATCGGCAATGCAAAAAACTTGGACAGAAAATCTTAGATTCTGATGAC